GCTCTAATATGAATATTTGAATGAGAAACAAAAAAATAAAAGGATTCCAAAATAAGATTAAGACATCATCTCAAATTCATAATCCAAATCTATCATACTTTCTCTGATTTTAATTTGATTTCTTATTCATGCTAATTGTTTTCGTTTTAAGTATTGTTCTATACTTTCTGGAATTATCTGGGTTTAAATTTTTTGACTTCTTTTTTGTTGTTCATTTTCTCATAAAGACCAATACTAACACAATAACTTAAGAGTGTGTTTGATTTACATGTTTTACTAGAGGTTATAAGGTAAATTCATAAGTCGTCCTACTAATTTTTGGTTTTAAATTTATTTTTAATATTATTTTTATTTTATTTTATATGAGTTAATTTGAGTACAGAGTTTAAGAAAGAATATTATTTTAAAAAATTTGTTAACTAAAATAAGTGATAGCAGTATGTATAGCTATAAATTTGTTGTCTAAAATAAATTTGACTAACCACTTTTACTTATTTTAAGTAGCTTATAAATTAAAAAATCATTGATCAAGTCATCAGCAATTTTTTGTTTTTATTCTTTTTAAATCTAAAAGTAGGTTCTTAAAATACTTTTTATCTTTTACAAACATGTTCAAAATGTAAATTAGAAAAAGAAAGTGAAAGGCAGTCCAAACACCCTCTTATTCTCTTTGATGATGTTAACTCAAACATGAAAAATGATTTATTTAAAGTTAGTGAAGCAAATGAGAGTCAAGGGTTGACTGTTGTATAATTGGTACATAAAATAATTAACTACTAATATAAAAATGAAGGCCTCGATGGGCTAAATACCTTTAGACTTTTGGAGTAGTTAGCATATAGGTGATGCATAATTGGTGCACTTTGTATTTAAACAACTAGTTAATTCTACTGCACGATTTTTGACTTGAACCAACACGTGCTTCTCTTGGACCATACTCACGTGGATCCCTATTTTTGTTTCTCCAATAAGTGGGTTTTTACGCAAAAATGCATCCACAAGCTTCTCTTTAAATTTCACGTCATCTACTTTCTCTAGACGTATAAGGAGTGAAAAATGGACCGTGGTTCGCCTAGCGCCCAGAGGAGCAAAGCTCATTTTCCTTTCAGGGTAAAGCGGCGCATAAAAAAGGGCTGGTCCGTCAAAAGTCCGGTTCCTTCGCGAACGAAGTTCAGAATCATAGGAATGTGGTCTAGTGATCGATAAAATGATTGATAATCATGAAAATTTAGGTTTAATTTTTAATAGAGACGAGAAATATTAAGTGACTTTTTTTATTATTTTGCTGACAAATATTCAGAAAAATTAGTTATCTAATGAAAAAAATGAATTTAATAACCATAAAACTTTAGGAAAAACATTGTCTAATCTTTATCTTTACTTGGTAATATGCCAATGGGAACAAGGAGTTTAATGAAGTTACTATGTACCTTTAAGAAGTACTAAACATCTGGTATGGCATGTTACATTTGGAGTTTTAGTAGACTATTGATGTTTGCCTCAAGGTGATATTTTGCTTCATTATTATTAGTAATATCCAAGAGATATGAACCATCTTTTTATATTGAAATAGTTTAGCTTAAAATTTGTCATATTGTATTTAATGACAATATTTTCTAATCAAACAACTAGTATGGTATATTTAAGCTCATATATTTCAAAATTAACTTTTTTTTTGTTTTGGTGTCTAGTCAAACTATATTTGGAGTCGGACACACCCTTCGTTTTAATTTCTATATTCTAATTTTCTTTTTTACTCTATTTAAAATAATATTCTCTTTGTCGTAGTTTATATGTCTATTTTATTTTTATTGAACTGATTATAAATAGCTATTACTTAATTTAAACCACAATTTTTTTTAAAAAAATCATTTCTTTTTAACTTTTTTCCGAGTCAAACTAATATATATATATATATATATATATATATATATATATA